TTCCTTCCTTCCTTCCTTCCTTCCTTCCTTCCTTCCTTTCTTCCTTCATCCTTTCTCCCCCCCTTCTTCTCATCCCTCCTTTCCTGTTGTAAGTTGAGGACTATGGGAAAAGGGATTTGCTCGCCTCACCTTGGTGTGTCCAAATTTGTACTGGTTGTGGTCGATGTCCAGCGAGCTTAGAAGTTTCTCAGCCCCCTTCCGGCTGTCGATGAACTGACCCTCCGGAATGGCCGCTGGGTTTAGGATCCGGTACCTGGCAAGAAAGGAAAAATTAGGCTGTATTCTTTTGCTAAAGGTTAACTGAGATTTCACCAGAAAGAGAAGTAGCCAAATGCTTGTGGGGTTCTCGCCCCAAAACCTACTGCTTAACCATTTCAGCATCCGGTGGAGCGTACAGTTGCTCCTCGACTTACAACCAACGCTAAACAAGGCACTTGTTAATAGCCATCATAACAGCAATAGCAATAGATTTTAGGCTCCTATATCAACCTTCTTTCCAGATCTCTCCGAGTGGTTTACAGATTCAGCATCTTGGCCTCCCATCAGTCTGGGTCCTCGTTTTACCAACCTCGGAAGGACGGAAAGCCGAGTTGACTTTAAGCTGGTCAGGATCGAACTGCTGGCAGTGGGCAGAGTCAGCCTGCAATATGGCATTCTGACCACTCTGCCACTACGGCATCTTAAGCGAGGTGAACCTGATTTCATGACGCCTATTTATGCTTGACAGTTATTAAGCGAATCATGGGGTTGTTAAGCAAATCATGGGGTTGTTAAGTGAATCATGGGGTTGTTAAGTGAATCAAACTCCCCCCGCCCCGACTTTGCTTGTTGCAAAGGTTGCAGATGGCAATGGCATTTTTCTGGGACATTGTAAACATGTATCAATTGCCAAGCCCTGAATACTGTTTGTGTGCCCGTGGGGATGCTGACACAGTCGTAAGTGCGAGGACTGGTTGTAAGTCCCTTCCCCCCCCAGTCCCATTGTAACTTCAGACAGTCAAGAAAGGAACGGTTGTAAGTTGAGGACCACCGATATAGGAATAGATTGCCGCTGACCTCTGGGAGGGTTTGTCAACTCTGTAGTCTATAAAGTTTTCATCTCCTGGTGGTCTCCCATCCAAGCCTGGCCCTGCTTGCTTTCTAAGGACAGAGGGGCTGCTGCCATTTGTGGCTACCATTAAAGTAAGAGACAGAATAACAGAGTTGTAACAGAGTCTAGCCCCCTCAGGCAGGAAACCCTCATACCATTTCAGACAAATGGCTGTCCAATCTCTTCTTAAAACCTTCCAGTGTTGGAGCATTTTGCAATTTTCTGTTGGCAAATCATCCCACTGATTAATTGTTCTAACTGTCAGGAAATTTCTCCTTTGTTCTAAGTTGCTTCTCTCCTTGTTTAGTTTCCCTCCAATCGCTTCTTTGGGGGCAAGCCCTTAGATATTGGAAGACTGCTACCCCGTCTCCCCTGGTCCTTCTTTTCATTAAACTAGACATACCCAATTCCTGCAACTGTTCTCCGTATGTTTTAGCCTTCAGTCCTGTAATTATATTATCCAGTTTTGGTCACCATGCTATAAAAAAGAGGTTGAGACTCTAGAAAGAGGGCAGAGAAGAGCAACCAGGATGATGAGGGGACTGGAGGCTAAAACATACGATGAATGGTTGCAGGAACTGGGCTTGGCTAGTCTAGTGAAGAGAAGGACCAGGGGAGACAGGATAGCAGTCTTCCAATATTTGAGGGGCTGCCACAGGGAGGAAGGAGGGGGTCAGGGGTGGGATTCAAATTTTTTAACAACTGGTTCTGTGGTCATGGCTTAGGTGGTGGGCATAGCTTGGTAGTCATGTGACTGGATGGGTGTCGCCAACTCAACATCACTCACATCGAGGCACGCATCTCCTCGCCTGGCCTCTCATGACTGTGGGGATGCTGCAACAGTCGTAAGTATGAAAAATGGCGATAAGTCACTTTTTTCAGTGCCATTGTAACTTTGAATGGTGATTCCACACATCAAAGTACCAGCAAAGGAGGGGAAAAAATCTCCAGAGAAGTTCCTGAGACAGGAAGTCCAGTCCTGCCAAGAATGTAATAAGGGTTAACAGAGAGGCAGTTTCTGTAAGCAACACCAGAATGTTTCCTTCCTGCCTCCCTTACAGGATTAGGCCAGTAATTTCTTCTAACATCCAGTTCTCCGAACTGCTTAGAATGTTAACAACCGGTTCTAGCGAATAGGTGCGAACTGGTAGAATCCCACCCCTGGAGGGGGTCAAACTATTTTCCAAGGCACTGAAGGCCAGATAAGGAGCAATGGATGGAAACTGAACATGGAGAGATTCAGCCTGGAAATAAGGAGAAATTCTTGATAGTGAGGACAATTAACCAATGGAACAGAAGTTGCCTTCGGAAACTGTGGGCGCTTCATCCTCTTTCAAGAAGAGACTGGACTGCCATCTGTCGGAAACGGTGTAGCGTCTCCTGCTTGGGCGGCGGGTTGGACTAGATGACCTACAAGGTCCCTTCTGACTCTGTTGACCTGTTATTAGTATTTTCTGTATCTCTGAACTCTTTCCAGAGTCTCAACATCTTTTTTTCACACCGTGGCGACCAAAACCAGATGCCGTATTCCAAGTGCGGCCTGACCAAGGTCTTATAAAGCGGCATTATTAACGCTTCACGCAATCTTGATTCTCTACCTCTGTTTGGCAGTTTGAACTGACCCTCCCAACGCTCGAGGAGTGGGATTCACCTTTGCCTGAAATCCCCGTAGAGGATCCGGTTGGGGAATCCTTTCCGGCAGATCCGTATTCCCTCCAGAACGCCGTTGCAACGTAACTGGTGCATGACCAAGGGGTTGTCCATCACACCTGAGGAAGAAAACGAGAGGCAGAGAGTAAATGAAAAGTAAGAATACTACCCTCCCCTCAGAAAGATGCGTCCTAGGCCCACGGTCTGGATTCACACAACCGCACTAAACCTACAGGGCATAAACACACACACACGCACACACAAATGTTGGGTTTGTGTATCAGAAAATGGATTTACGCTCAAGAAATGAAAGAATATGGATTATGCAACCTGTTGTAACGGAAAGGTAGCCCTCCTACTTACCACCACAACCGAGCCCAAGATTTCCGTTGCTAAAGCGAGGCATTGTTAACTGAGTTTCGGCCCATTTTAGGACCTTTCTTGCCATGGTTGTTAAGTGAATCACTGCCATTCTTAAGTTAGGGATATGGTCATTAAGTGAATCTGGCTCCCCTCCCCATTGAGGTTGCTGGTCAGAATGTCGCAAAAGGGGATCACACGACCCCGTTACAAATATGAGTCAGTTGCCAAGTGGCTGAATTGTGAGATGCTGCCATGGCCATAAGTGTGAAGAACGGTCGTAAGTCCATGGCGCCATCCTTCTGGTCAAGTTATCCGAGTTCATGCACTTGGCAACTGACTCGTAGTTATGACGGTCGCACTGCCCCGGGGATCAGGGAATTCCCCCTTTGCGACCTTCTGACGAGCAAAAGTCAACGGGGAATCCAGATTCACTTAACGACCCTGTGACTCGCTTAACATCTGCAGCGATTCACTTCATCACAGCGGCAAGAAAGGTCGCAAAACGAGGCACCTGAACAGATGCCTGACTTAGGAACATAAGTTGTGGGTTCAGTTGGGGTTGTAAGTTGAGGACTGGCTGTGATTTCCCTGCTGGATGTCGCCTTTCCCCCTTGCCGTAAAACGCATCTGATACGTGCATTTTTCCCGCCTTGAATTTTGCAGAAGGATTGGCTGCTTCCTAAGGCTGAGAAAAGCGACGGCATCAGCTTGTCTGCAAAGGAGTTGCTATCTCTTGCAGCAAGGTCGATGCCGTGTGTGTGTGTGTGTGTGTGTGTGTGTGTGTGTGTGTGTGTGTGTGCAATTTGGGTCCATGCCCTGACCCTTGACCCCTTAACTTCCGGGAAGAAGAGGAGGAAGCGCTTCCTTTTTTCCGTTTCCTTCCTGGAAGAGGAGAAGCAGCTTCATTCCCAGCGGATTCCAGCAAGCTGGCTGAAGGAATCTTGCGTGCGAGAGCTTCCCGGGCTGAACGCCTGGCTGCCCCCCCCCCAGCGGATCCCTTTGGTTCCCCCACTGGGATTACCGGGGGCCTTTCGCTCGTTGGGGATGAGGCACCGCACGAAATGAGGGTGGGTGGTCTTGAGGTTGGCCATCAACTTGTTGAGGTTCTCCTGCCAGAAGAAAAGATAGAAGGAACAGATCAGGCGGAGAGAGGAGGAGAGGAGAGATAGAGGGAGGGAGGGAGGAGGGAAGGAGAAAGGAAAAGAGGAGAGAGAGAAGGAACAGAGGGAGGGAGAAGAGAGGGAGGAAGGAAAGAAGGAAGGAAGGAAGGAAGGAAGGAAGGAAGGAAGGAAGGAAGGAAGGAAGGAAGGAAGGAAGGAAGGAAGGAGAGAGAGAGAGAGAGAAGGAAGGAAGGAGAAAGGAGGAGAGAGAGAAGGAACAGAGGGAGGGAGAAGAGAGGAAGGAAGGATGGAAGGAGAAAGGAGGAGAGAGAACAGGAACAAAGGGAGAAGAGAGGAAGGAAGGAAGGAAGGAGGAGAGAGAGAAGGAAGGAAGGAGAAAGGAGGAGAGAGAGGAGGAACAGAGGGAGGGAGAAGAGAGGAAGGAAGGAGAAAGGAGGAGAGAGAGAACGAACAGAGGGAGGGAGAGGAGAGGGAAGGAAGATAGAGGAGAAATGGAAGGAGGGAGAGAGGAAGGAAGGAGAGAGGAGAGATGAAGGGAGGGAAGGAAAGTGGGAGGAAGGAAGGAAGGAGAGAGGAGGAGGAGGACAGGGACAGGGAGAGAGAAATGTTCATTGTGTTTCTCCTCGCAAACTCCAATAAACCAATATTTGGCATTCACTTGTATGGCCTTCAACTCCAAAAATTCCCCAGCCAGCTGAATTCTGGGAGTTGAAGTCCGCCCAGGCTTAAAGTTGCCAAGGGTGGAGACCGTGCCATAGGCGACCCAGAACCCCCTTTTCTCAGCGCCGAGGTTCCCATCTCATACCCGGTGAAGTGCTGAGACGGTCTGGAAGGAGGAGCCTTTCTTCTTGGATCCTTTGCCCTTCCCGCCGTCTCCGCCTGGGGGAAGAAGAGAAGGCTGACGGAGGGAGGCCGGTGCAGGACTCTCTCTCATCTGCACAAGCACAGGGAGTCCTCGACTTACAACAATTTGTTTAGCAACCAAAGTTAGGGCGGCCCTGAAAAAAGTGATTTATAGCTAGTCCTCGCCCTTATGATCTTTCCTCTTCTTTCCTTTCCTTTTTTTGGGTTCCTTTCCTTTCCTTTTTTCTCTCTTCCTTTCCTTTTTCTATCTTTCTTTTCCTTTTTCTATCTTCCTTTCCTTTCCTTTTTTCTCTCTTCCTTTCTTTTTCCTTTTTCTATCTTTCTTTTCCTTTTTCTACCTTTCCTTTTATTCCTTTCCTTTTCCTTTCCTTTTCTTTTCCTTTCCTTTTTCTGTCTTTCTTTTTCTATCTTCCTTTTTCTTTCCTTTTTCCTTTCCTTTACCTTTTTCTACCTTTCCTTTTATTCCTTTCCTTTTCCTTTCCTTTTCTTTTCCTTTCCTTTTTCTGTCTTTCTTTTTCTATCTTCCTTTTTCTTTCCTTTTTCTTTCTTTCCTTTTTCCTTTCCTTTTCCTTTTTCTTTCTTAACTTTTTCTATCTCTTTCCGTACCTTTTTTCTTTTCCTTTCCTTTCCTTTCCTGTCCTTTCCCTTCCCTTCGCTTCCCTTCCCTCCTTTCCTTTCCTTCCCTCCTTCCCTTCGCTTCCCTTCCCTTCCCTCCTTTCCTTCCCTTCCCTTCCCTCCTTCCCTTCCCTTCCCTTCCCTTCCCTCCTTTCCTTTCCTTTCCTTTCCTTTCCTTTCCTTTCCTTTCCTCTCCACTCCTCTCCTTTCGTCTCCTCTCCTATTTTTCTTCCTTTCCTTTCCTTTCCTTTCCTTTCCTTTCCTTTGCTATTTTTCTTCCTTTCCTTTCCTTTCCTTTCCTTTCCCTTCCCTTCCCTTCCCTTCCCTCCCTTTCCTTTCCTTTCCCTTCCCTCCTTTCCTTCCCTTCCCTTCCCTCCCCTTCCCTCCTTTCCTTTCCTTTCCTTTCCTCTCCTTTGCTATTTTTCTTCCTT